TGTTTAATCAAGTATGACTCAAGCTTTAATATAAATATTTATAAAGCTGAGACGATCTGTGGTTGCTGAAATATGTATGCTGTGTCAAAACATTTTGAACCCCCCACGTATTTTCATAATAGGAAAATACTTACTGTAAAATTGTATCCCATAAAGTTTCAACAGACTAAGGCTAGCACTCGTTCCGCCATAGATTCGTACAATTCTGTTCAGCATTATTTTTAACATTTTGGCGATCTTTATCTTGTCTCCAACATAATGTAGGTGCTGCCGTTGGTTAGGTGGACCACTGACTTCCCCAAGAGCGAATTCAAGCCTGGGCAGTTTCGTTGACCAAATGATGTCAATCTTTCTTCCACTACTACGGTCCTCAGCATCAGTTTTTCTTAGATCATAATTCTCTGCTGAGGCAAACAAACACACCTCGCCACTTATAAATAGAATTCAATCAACGCATTGACCTTTAAATGATCGAAGTCAATACATATTGTTCATCACTTACAACAAAATAACCAATTTCTCATGCTCTGTCCGAAATAGACTCTCCAGTAGCAGAGTAAGAAAAATTTCCTGATACATTCATTCTGAGAGGTTCTCATCAAAAAGATCTCCTCCCCGATCAAATGAGTTTGCACTATTAATACAGAACAAGGTCAGCAGAGAAATCAATGTCACATACTTTTCATTTGAAGAAAAATCCTACAGTTGATAAGCAAAATCCCATAGAAACTCCTTCTCACTGCTGCCTCTGGTCGGCAAAAAGTTCTCGTTCACTGCCTTGCGAAAGTCAGGTGCCTACAATGAAAGGTATGTTGATCAACTCATTCCAAATACACTCAACAAAATAGCTAAGTTTTTTCATCACCATAGCCATTTCCGTAGCCAATTTTTTGATATTGTCATCATCAATTTTGGGCAGTGGCTGTCCAAATCTTCTCATCTCTTCAATTTCATCTCGTCGAAGACTTGAATTAACAAAGTCACTACTTGTTTGGGATGTGAGATCAATAATATCATAGTACGCTAAGCTGAAATTTCCAAATTTACATTAATTGGTGTTTTAGTCATTAATGTCTCTAATAATAATAAGCTAGCAGCAGCAGTCAACTTACTCTTCATGTGATTGCTCTTTGATACTTTGCCAACTTGTTAACATCTCCTTGACATTTACTTTCTTAAATCCCACAAGCCATTCCCCATTGCCCTGAAGAGTCTCCATGGCCTGTTTCTCCAACTCATCTTCCCTAACATCACTGTCTCTCTCATTGTTTTTGTCATCCCCTTTTTTGTTGACAGATTGGATAGCAATACTCAATAATTTGATCAGTCATTTTTAATTATATGACTTCACTTTCTACCAATTCATACCTTGACCTTCAAACCCGTCTTCTTCATCGCTTGAGTGAGTTGAGTGTTTTGGCCTTCGTTCCACCGGGTTTCTTGTTCCTGTTTGAAGTTGGATTAGCCAGCGCTCGCCATCCTCATTAGATGCGGTCAGAAAAGGATTCTCTTCAAGCTATATCAAAATTACAGACAATCAACAAGTTATTCCAATCCAAGGCCACAAAGAGTCAAAAAAAATGATTACACCAGACAAGATGAACTCTTCGCTTACCTCATTTACCCTGTCTGTCATGTCCAATGCATCATTCCGCTTGCGTTTCAGAGTGTTGATATCTGTTCAAAATAGATGATGGAACAGAGCTTGGGAAAATAAATTTGCACATGTTTGACTCTAAATTGAAAAAATTGACGGCTTACCTCCTTGTTCCTTAAAAACAGAATATACAAATACAGTATATCAGATTGATGATATACACTGTGGATTATATAATGATAACACATACTGCTGTGTATTTCTTACCACTTAGCTTCACTTTGGTTGTTTTGTCCTCAACCACAACTAACTCGACAGTGTTGTCATAGATCTTCTATAATAATGCATCTGATTAGAATTTTTAATAATTGAAAACCTTTGTTAACAGCTTATCTGACTGACATTAGCATTTTGAATGTCTAGCTCTTGGACGAACTTCTGAACCTCTGGGCGCTCAGTAGCACTTGGGAGGCTTCTGCAAAGTTTTGTGGCTTTCCTCTTTACTGATTTGGATGTATAAGGATTTCTGGAAATGTTGCACATATGGTACAGAAAGGCCTCCTTGATAGCAGGTAGGTCCGCACTTGAGTACTCCACATTGTTTTCTAGATACTTTAGGGCTCCTAGAAAACTCCAGCTAGTATAGTTACAATCTTCAAGGTACTTCAAAATCTGATCGTTGAAGTCCATATCTAATACTAGTATTAGACAATAAAAACATAGAAGAGGTTATAAGCATGAGGAAAATAAAGAGAC